ACATTTTAGACTGTGAGCATCACAGCGCTCAGCTCCACGAGCCCAAGTCGGAAGCCACAAGTCGGACGCCGCTAAAAAATACCCCAAACTTCCATCAGGAAGGAAAGAGCGCAGAGCGCCGGCGGGGAGCGGGGGGCGGCGGGCAGGGCTGCTGCGGGAGCGAGGGGAGGGGAACGCGGAACGGCCGAGCGGCACCGAAATCGCGAGCGAGGATCAGCCGGCGTCGGGAAAACTGAGCGAAAAGTTGGGCCCGTCGCGGCGGGGTCTGTCGCGACGATCCGCACCGCCCCCCGGCGCCCCTTACCGTAGACGCGGACCCAGCCCTGCTGCTGGCACACCGAGTCCAGCAGGACGCGGTCCAGCGCTCCGCCCGCCGCCTCCAGCTCGTCCGAGCCCAGCTCCGGCTCCGCCAGCGCCTCGGCCGCCCAGGCCGCCGGCTCGCCCGCCGCGGGGGCCGCCTCCATGGCGAGGAGCGGGGGACGACCGCCGCCGCCGCCGCCCGCGCTGCTCCCCGGCCGCGCCTCGCCTCAGCGCGGCTCCATCCCGCCCCTCGGCCGCCGCCGCCGCCGCCCGCCCCCTGCGTCAGCGCGACGGGAGGAGGCGGGGGCGGAGGCGGCCGCGCTCCGGCGCCGGGCGGGGAGCGGCGGGAGGACGGGTCGGCGCGAGGGGCGTCGCGCTTCGGGCCTGAGCTGGGCTGCGCGGAGCGGCGTGAGGCCGGGGCAATGGCGGCGGCTCGAGTGCTGCGTGCGGTTCTGGGCTCCTCGCTGCACTGGGGCTCTGGAGTGTGTTTGGAGGTGGGCGCGGAGCTGTGCGTTGGGGGGCGGCTGAAGGAACGGCACGGGGCAGCGCGGAGGAGCTGAGGGGAGACCTCGCTGCTCTGCAGCTCCTAAAGGGAGGCTGCGCTGAGGTGGGTCAGCTCTGCTCCCGGTAACGGCGATAGGATGGGAGGTGGTGGCATCACGTTGTGCCTCCAAAAGAGCAGTGATACGGCGGCAGGAGGCCCGCCGAGGTGCTGGGTCACTGTCCCACGTTGTGAAAGCCGAGGGTGGATGTGGCTGCGGCTGAGGGGTGGTCAGAGCGGTCGCTGGCATCGTTGATGGTTGGACTTTCCAAGCTTAATTATTCTGCTGCGTTTCAGATCATAGCACCAAAACATGAGTTTTCAGGGAGGACGGGCAGGGATTCGGCTTGCACTGGGCTCCTTCCCCTGCCCTGCGCCCAGCACTGGTCGATACAAACCAGGCAAGTTCGTCCAAGCGCACAGATGCTGTGATTATCTCCACGGTGCGGAGATGATGTAGCAGTGCAACCATCTCCCCAAAACAACATGCTAAGACCGAAAGCTGAGCACAGGCTGCCTCTAACGGCTCCTCTCTGTCCACAACTTCTGCCTTCGTATAAAGATACAAATATTTTTGCCTTTATTCTGACACTTAAACAAGCACTGTCCTTGGCACAGTCGTTACCCAGCCATAAAGCTGCTCCAAGCCAGACCCAGCTCTCCCACTTCCAGCCGTGCTGCTTGCTGTTGTGTTTCATTGTGAGCTACAATAAATAAGGGCATCCATACAGTGAGTTACTGCACCTTGGCTGAGAGCCGTGACCTCCCTCTGCTGGGGCTGTAACTCAGCTCTGCGGTGTGGCAGGATCGCCCACTCGAACCCAAAAGTTTGCCTTCTGTGCTGAGTGTCACATCTGCAGGACTCGCACAGTGGCAGTGAGCCGACTGGGTTTGAGTACCTCCTACTGGTGTAGTGGGATGCACAATGGAAGACATATAAACTGTCTCAATGGAGAAGTCCTGCCAGCCCTATGAAATTGATGAAACCTTATTGACTGAGAGCTTGGCCTGAATCTTGCCCTACAACTAGGTCGTTCTGTTTTCTGGACCGGGATGACCTGCAGGTTTTTTGTTGTAGGATGGGAAGATGCACCTTGCTGCCATTTCCAAACTGATTTTGACAATAAAGAAACCTTCCTCAAAATGTTGTTTGTGATCAGCAGAATCAGTGCAGCCTGGTTTTCCACCGGTTTACAACCCAAGGTAGAGTCCTTGGGATCCGGCAAAGGGTGGGCGCCTGTGGTGCAGAGCCTTGTTGGATCTCTCTGCTTTGCCTTGCCTCTGGTGTTCATTATTCCTACAGGAATTTAATTAGCTCTTGGACCCTTATCACTCTGTTTGAAACAGATCAGCAGGCTCAACGCTTACTGCAGTCGTAGGAGATGAAACACGGGACAGTGGGAGAGGGGACATCCTGTGAGTTTGGTGTTGTCAACCTCAATTTTCTGGGAAATAAGGGTTAAAACATATCCTGCTATCCAAGAAGAGTTAAACCAGGCAGGAGCCTGTTGAGGATTCATCCTTTTCTCCCAGTGACAGGCAAAGGATAATTTTTCCATGCATCTTGCAGCATGGCATAGCCCCTCACCTCCTGAGCTATTGCATGCGGAGAGCCAGGACTCCCAATAACACTTCCTGGCTGCTTCCTGCCCCACACCATTCCCTGCATCGTGCTTCCCAAAGGCTTGGGAGCTGAGGGTGTGCAGGGCTGTTCTTTTTGCAGAGGACATCGGCACGGATTGCCATAATGACACCACAAAGCAGTACGGCAGCCAATTTCTCTGTCCTATGTTCTCTTTACCACTGCTCTTTCCCACTGCTGCTGATAATATACTCCCCAAGTTTGTCTTTCAGTGGCCATAATCCAATCAACTTGTTGAGGTTTTTCCTCTACCGCTCTCTGCAGCCCCCTCCTTTCCTTCAGCCTGCCCTGAGCCTGCATGGGCAGCTGCAGGGAAGTGGGGATGGAGCTGCTTGTGTTGCGAGGGAAGGATGTGACTGTTGAGCTTCTGCCAAGAGAAGAATTGCAGAGTTTTTAAGAGTTGCCACACGGAGCTGGGATGACAATTTACACAGGATCAGCATGGGTCAGTAGTGACTGGTTCTCATCAAGTAGGGTCGGCCCACTCCCAGTGCAACCCAAAAGTGGACTCTCTGAAATTTTATGCTCCATTGGGAAACAAAATCCATTCTTCTGCCTTCATTTGTGGGTTTTGGGGCAACATAAGCAATAATAAATAGCAGAGATGACTAAAATAGGAAGGGTGACAGTAGCAAAAATAGACATATTTTGTAAATAAGGATGTCCTGGAAACAAAGATGCCAGAGTTCCATGCGCACTGGTGCAGCTGTTCTGGCTTGGGGTCCTCTCAGCCAGTGATGCAGCAGGCATCTGTGAAGGGAGCATGACAGTAACCCAAGCACATGTGTAGGATTCCCTCTGTGAGAAGCAGAGCCAACAAGCTGCTCATAGCCCTCATGTTAACACACAGGCCCTGGTTAAACTGGGACTGGAACTTTGCTCAAACTTATCCCAAAGTTCTCCGCCAAGCAGCACGGAGAGGAACGGCCGCATCCAAAGTGGACAGAAGGAAGCGCTTTCTCACGCAGCACGTAATTATATTCTGCAACTTATTGCCACAGGATGTCATGGAGGCCAAAAGCATAAATGAATTCAAAGAAAAAAAAAAAAGAAAGGATTAGATGGATCCGTGCAGCCTCTGGCTCAGGAAGTCCCCCCGCCGCCGAGTGCCGGAAGCCAGGAGGAAAGCTTGCTTTGTGTGCTCCCTTTCCGAAATCCCTTCCTAAGCATCTGCAGCTGGAGCAGTCAGAGTTGCTACCCACATCCCACTGGACATTCCTTACGGATGGAACCTCAGCCCTGTTTGGTTCCCTTGGACCTGCTGTACCAGGGCTGGGTGCCAGAATCTCCACGGCAAAGCCCATTTGGATGGGGATGGTAGAAAATGCGCACGCTGATTGAAAAAGAGCAAAAACAGTGTGGGGGAAAGTTAAATATTAAAGAACGTCCCTCCTTCATCTCGTGCCAGCTGCCCCCAGGGTACGTGTGCGGATGTTGGGTTCCTACCTCACTTTCAGCTGCTTCAGCAAAATTCTAATTTTTCTCTAATGGAGGAGAGGAATATCTGGTCCTGCTGCAGCGGGACAGTGTCCACTGAAACACCAAGTGGCCTCAAAAATGGGCTTCTAAGAGCCTTTCCTGCCAACAGCTGCCCATAAGAGGGAAAATGGAGCTGGAAAAGCACGCTGCAGCCACTTGGGCATTGTCCCTCTGATTTTGGGAGCTCTGTGCCATTGGTCAGGCGCTCTGAAGCGGATCTGAGAAACCCTGCAGCTGGTGTGAAAAGGCATGGGGCTGGCATTGAAGAATATTGTCTGTAAGTGGACTTTTTGGTGATGGAGCTGTTCCCATAATATCACTATTAGGTTGATTACCTCCGGGCCGCCGAGAGCTGATGGCGGTGGATGTGGGTCAGGGTTAATCTTTGGGCTGTGAGGAACGAAGGATTTATCCCTATTTTTCTTGTTGGATGACTTGGAGAGTATTTTGAGAAGCGAATAACCACTGGATTTGCTTCCCTCTGTAGGAGCACGGGCTTCTCCCTCCTGGCTCCTATCTCACCGCTTCATCCATGCCTCTCTGCTGTGCTTCCGTTCCGTGTTGCCTAAAGCAGCAGATCCCTACCCACGCTACTGGGAGCACAGACGTGTGCCAGTGCCCGGCCCGGCGCTGTGGCTCCTTGGGGAGGCGGCTGGCTGCGAACAAAGGCTGTGCGGAGACGCGCGTGGGCCGCTCCCGCAGTCCCCATCCTGCCCTTAATTACGAGCTAAGCGGTGGCTAATAAAGATGAGGCAAGGCAAATAAATCGAGCCGCCGTTCTAATTAAGCGGCGTGCAACGAGTCAGACCCATCTGTGCGATAGATCAGCACGAGAGGGCACCGCGAGGGATCGCGTTGGATGGAGGTTGCATCGCTCCGAGCGGGGAGCGCAGCGCCGCGCATCCCCCCGGCCAGCACCCCCACGGCACGGCGCTGCCGGGCGCTCACACCTCCCTCGTGGCCGGTGCCAATCGCTGCCCAGCGCGGCCCGGCTCCTCCCCGGGCGGGCGGTACGCGGGGTCCGGAAGGCAGCGGGAGCGGCATGGCGGCGGCGGCGGCGGGGCGGCGGTGCGGAGCGGAACGGGAGCGCGTCCCCATCGCGTTCCCTGCCCTTCCCCATCCATTTCAGAGTCCCTTTGCCTCCGTACCGTCCCCATTCCCCGTAAACTCTCGTCATCGTCTATCCCCCTAGTCCCCATTTCCCCCTTTCCATTCCCAGTCCTTTCCTCTATAACCCCCTATACTCCCTCTCCATTTCCAGTCCCTCACATTCCTCATCTTTTCCCTTCCACCTCCGCCCATTCCAAATCTCATTACCCCCATCTCAACTGTTCTCCATTTCCCCTCCAACCCCACTGTTTCCCATTCCTTATTCACCCCACTCCATTCCCCATCCCATTCCTCCACCCTTTCCCCTATCCCTCTCTCTGTATCCCCATCACCCCCAGCCCCCACCCCTTTCTGCCCTCCCTATCCTCCTAGCAGCAGTGAGGAGTTGGCACTTCCCTTCACAGTTCCCCTTCACTTGTCTTCCAGGCTCTTCACCCTGAGGCTGCCTGCCCAGCGTGGTGCCCGGGGGTACCGAGCAGCTCTCTGCACACAGCTGGCACAGCCCCTGCTCGTGCAAGACCTCCCAGCCCCTCGGCTGCTGCCATGCCAGGTGCGTGGGGACCATTGGGCATCAAAGGGAAGATTGGCTCCGGGTCGCTGGGCTGTGATACACACATGTTGTGTGATCTCCACCAGGCTGAGGCAGTGTCTCTTTTAAATCTCTGCTCTTGGCTGAATGCAGGAGTTAATGTTTGTCCCCTTCTCTCGCAGGTCCGTGTGCGTGTCCATTACTGCGGGTTAAATTTTGCTGATATCTTGGCCTGCCGGGGGTTATACCAGGAGAAACGCACTCCTCCCTTCACCCCTGGTGAGTAAGTGACCAGATGTCATAGGTGACCAAGTGTCACATCCTATGGGAATGAGGAGGTCGAGGACGCTGCTGACTCGAGGCAACTTCTGGGGTCAGTAGGATCACATACTGGCATCCTCTGAAAAATACCCAGTGCGAAATACTTTGCACTAGCATAGGGAGAGTAACAGCAGATACCACCTTTGCTGGAAGCTGAGAAAACCGAGACACGGAGCGGTTTGGGGTAGGCAGGGTCCTCCTGTCTGGAGCCCAGAGCTCTTGCAGCTCAATGACTGCCACAAGCACAGGTGGCAGCTGTGCCACTATAGCATCTGCACAGGGTCAGTCACTGTGCTGGCGGCACCTCCTGTCCCCCTGCAGCATCTGTCTTCTGCAAAAATGCACTGGGATTCCGAATTACAAGGAATTCTTAACTAGAGGTGTTTGCTGTCTCTTGTGCTGATGCTGCCATCTTCTGTCCAATTGGTGCTTTGCTGCTGAGAACTTCAAATCTCTGAGGTTGGAAAAGCCCTCTGAAATCATCACGTGCTGCTTCTGCATGGCCTGGCCCTGGGGCTGCTCCACGGGTGGGTGCTCAGCAGCCACTGGAGCAGAGCCCAGGGGTAATTTCCTCACAGTGTGTTGTTACAGCTGATGCCTGGAGGGCTTGGGGGCACAGCAGTGCCTGTTGCTGGGAGGTTTTCTCCCAAATTCCACGTGCTGGAAGCAAGAGCTCATGACCTGAATCTGTTTACTGAGGTTGCTGCTAATTGTGGGTGTGAAGGCGGGTTGTGTCAACGTATGCTGCATGTGCATATACTTATCCTGCAGGAATGGAGTTTTCAGGGACTGTAATGGAGACAGGAGAAAACGTCAGTGCTGTGAAGGAGGTGAGAACAACATGGGGATATAGGGAAACTCAGCAGGAGAAGGGAGTAAATGCATACAGTTAACACAGTCGCTGTTGGTAGACACAGCTTGAGCTGTTCACAGTTCCCTCTGAAAACATAGGAAAATGAAATGCACAATTAAGAGGGGGCTGCACCATTTGGTAATGCATACAAACAGGCAGCCCAGAGAGATGATGGGGTCACAATCCCTGGAGGGACATGGTCAGCGGGTACGGGTTGATGGTTGGACTAGATGATCTTTAATGGTGTTTTTCAACCGTAGGGATTCTGTGATCTCTCTCCCAGTGTCCATACAGTGACTTTTTTTGCAGGGTCACAGGGTGATTGGTGTGTCTGGCATCAGTGCTATGGCAGAGGAATGCATTGTCGATGAGAAGGTGAGGACACCAAGCATTTGGGATCAGCACTTCAGCCCTGCCACAGCTGCAGTGGGATACAGCATGCTTGGGGCATCTTTTCTAAACAGCACGCAGCTACAAGATGCAAAACCTCTTTAAAACAAGCCCTTTTACATGGTGAGCCCCAGTGATGCTGTCAGCCCATTGAATCCCACGTACAGGCACTCTGGCAGATCCCTGACAACGTGTCCAGTGAGGATGCAGCAGTGCTGCCTGTTGCCTATGGCACAGCCTGGCTGGCTCTGCACCACCGAGCACATCTGCAGCCACGGTGAGCAGCTTCAGTTCAGCACAGCCCCCAGGCTGACTGGGACTCAGCATGCCCTGACAGCAGGACAATCCCCATGCTGCTGAAATATTGCCCTATTAGGGAATTATGGGTGTGTTTCCATTGTGCTTTCTCATTCTTTCTCTTCCTGCCAGGGAAACAGTGCTAGTGACAGCAGGAGCTGGAGCCACTGGCCTTGCCATCATTGATCTGGCTGTCAGCGTGTTCCAGGCAAAGGTACGGAGGTGTTGTCCTTTTCACCTGTCCTCATGTGCTCCAGCCTTGGCAAGCAGGTGGCCTGGAGTCACAATGATACAGTGGCAGAGAACCAGCACCAGGCATTTGCTGGGTCAGACACCAGCACCACAACCTTGATGCCATATTTCCTTCCTTTACTTTACCTTCATTATAAATCCCCATTGCCTTCATGGGCAGCACAAAGACCCTTTGCATCTGCCCCATGGGTCATCATTTCAGAAGGGGGTTAGAATTTTGGAACTCCTGTTTCCAGCCCCATGAAAATTGTCACCTCAGTGTGCTTCTTTTGATGCTCACGAGAAAATATTTGAATATACGTAAGGAGAAAGAGCGGGGTTTCCAACTCCAAATGTTCATTTTCCCTAATTAAAATAAGCACACCTAGAGGCTGAGTGGCTGCAGCACCGGCTTCCCCTTTGTTCTCAGGTGATAGGAGCAGCTGGCAGTGACCCCAAGTGCCAGCTGATCCTGGCAAATGGGGCAAGCCACGCAGTGAACTACAGCCAGAACAGTCTCAGGGAGCAGGTGACAGCACTCACAGGTGGCAGAGGGGTCAACGTGGCCATCGAAGCTGTTGGTGGGGACATCTTCAAGGCTACCCTGCAGAGGTGAGTGAAAATGAGAGGTGATGCTATTTGCATGCCTTGAGCAAAGTGAAGCTAACTCACCAGGCTCTGCCTGCCCCATCTGGTGGTGGAGGCAGAGATCATAGACTAGAAGAGACACCGTAGAACCATGAAGGTCGGAAAAGATCCGTAAGATCATCCAGTCAAACCCCAACCCATCCCCACCATGCCCACTGACCATGTCCCTTAGTGCCACACCTCCACAATTCTTGAACACCTCCAGGGATCTCCCTGGGAAGCCTGTGTCAAAATCTCACCACTCTGAGAAGAAACATTTCCTAATATCCAAGCTGGAGGCTGTATAAGATGCATTTGCTCAACCCCACATGGCTTGTTATGGCCACGATAGCATACGTTGCCTTGGGATGAGGTTTCAAATACCTGTCACTTGTCTTCTTGCAGTTTGGCTTGGGAGGGCAGGATTGTGGTGATGGGTTTTGCTGGAGGGAAAATCCCCTCAATTCCTGCCAACCTGCTGCTCCTGAAGAACGTGTCAGCCATGGGAGTGTACTGGGGTCGGTACCAGCAGGAAGACTTCCCTCTTTTCTCCTCTGCCATGTCCTCCCTTCTTCAGTATTGCCAGGAGGGAAAGATCCATCCACACATCGGAACAGTCTTCAAGCTGGAAGAGGTACACATGGCTCAGAACTGTTAGCCAAGGCCTTTTTATGGGGGCAGAAATAGGTTTGTGCGTGCAGTTAGACCCCTGGCACAGAAAACGCAGGAGTCCTAAAATCCAAAAATATTAAATCAAGAAATCCCATTTTCCCTCACCCTTTTTAATCTTCTTCCATTGGGTTTCAGCCAGGGAGCCGTTAACTCCTGGTTTGCTACTGCAAGGCCAGAACTGCAACGTGTTCAATGGGGAAATCATAAAAACACACGCTGCTACACCAAAGAGTTTGTGGTCGTAAAGAATAATGTGCTGGGATAATATTTTAGAAGTGGATTAGTGGATTGTGATGTGCCTTCATTTGCATTTCCCCCCGAGCACCTCTGAAGGTGCTCAAAACACTTTTTTTTCCATGTTATGATGGTCTTTGAAGCCTTAAATAACAGTTCCTTAGAAATGCCTACGTAGCCCCCATCCAGCAAACTCAGGGATGCAAGGTGGAGGAATACCCAGGAGCTTGCTGGCTTCTGAGTTGTTTCAATCCCAGCATTGGATCCCAGGGACAGAAAACCCAGGCTCAGCTGCAAAACATGAGCTCTTTTTGTTCACACCAAAGAAAACATTACAGCCTATTGTAAGCCCATATAAATACAACCAGACCCTTGGTTTAGCTTAACTTCTTATTGAGTGAATAACACTGCAAACATTACAATACAGCGTCTACTTCCACGTGTTCTGCACCTCCTGCCCTGATGACCATCCTCATAAGCACTCAGGGCTTTGTGCTTGCAGGTGAATGAAGCCTTCAACCACGTGCTTCAGCGCAAGTCCACTGGAAAGGTCATCATCTCCATGAAGTAAAAGGGCTGTGAGGGATTTCTTGAATACAGTAAACCAGAGGACCCTCAGCCAACCCTGTGCATGTCCTGCATCATCATATGGCTATAGGAGCAGTAATTTTCCATAAGGCTGTCTGGATTTCCAAAATCATGAATAAAGTTACATGACACTCTTCATTTGAGCCAGCAGCATTTCTGGGGGCAAAGAGTGACAAGGCTGGTGTGGATGTAAGCTGGATTCTGTCCAGCAGTAGGCTGTGAGCCACTTTTCCCCCACTGGGAACAGCTGAACTTCCTACATCAGCTGCGGGAAGAGAGGAAACCAGCTTTTTTTCTCCGATTTTTAGTACAGTTTGAGCTGGACAAAGAACAAGATAACTAACTGGAGTCCTGTTGATGCTCATTTGGGAACCACTGGGGTAGGCAGTGGAACAGTGCCCTGCCTGTTCCACCTTGATGGAACACTTGGATTTGAAAGGAAGAGCAGTGAGGAAGACGTGGGGGTGAAGCACAGAGCAATGAGTTGCCTGCCCTGCCAGGTGCCTGTGTCTGCTCCTGACCCCACATCAGCTGGCTCAGTCCCAGGAGAGTGATCACAGTCCCAAATACCTCCATACACATCATGGCAAACAAAAGCAACCCGAAACTCTAACAACAAGCAGGCTGCGCTCTTTGAGGCTTAACAACAGGGACTTGAGCTTTAATGGACTGCAGAGACACAATAGTTGAGCCATTTGATCTGACCATACTTAAATTTGTCTGTACTGTGTCCTGCTGATCCAGCTCCCAGTGTTGTGCAGGCTCTGGCTTCACAAGCTACTACAGCATCACACCTCATTATGAAGCACTGCAATAGCCCTCCTGCTTTCCTAGCATGCCTCTACTGCAGCAACTCCAGCCCAGCCATACTCCCCTGCTTACTGCTGAGCCTCACACCCTGGAGGAAATTATTTAACTCCCATCTATTCTCTAGAAGCCTTGCAAATTCATCATGGTACATGCAGGTTCTCCTTTCAGAAGTGTTTTTTTTTTAAGCTTATTCCACTGGTAATAGCAGGAAACTACCTGCTGCAGTGAAGGATTCATCTAAATAAGCTGAAAGCCATAGCTGGGCTGTAGTTAATGCCTAGCTCACTTCAGTGCTTGGGCTATCACCATGCTTTAGGAAAATGGGCTGCCTAAAGGAAAAGCTCTAGCAGAGGCTATGAAACCGTGACTTCAGCCTACATTGAGCCATCTCCTGGGAGTTATTGATAACATTTACTATTAGTGGTACCTGACAACAGAAGAACAGGACCCTTGCCCTGTTGCACCTACTAAGCTTCCCACAGCATTTAAGGTCAGTGCACTCATTAGCCTTCAGCACTCATTAGTTTTTTAATCACCACCCTTCCATCAATTTTGCTTAACTGAAATAATAACTCTGGTTTCTTCAGGTCACACCACAGGGGATCCAGAACTTAATTATGCAGAAGATGTAAATAAACTGACTTTAAGAATGCTTAATAATGTTAAAATTGTTTCGTTACAAGGGGCTCTGAAAAAATCCTCTCACAATTATTTGAGCCTTGCTTACCTCTACCACACCTTGATATTCATCTGTTGAAGGAGAAGGACCTTCAGGGACACCATACCTTACCTCTTCAGTAATTAAGAAAACTAGAAAAACCTTTAACTTGTTGTTCCCAAACAACAGTTTTAGGCAATGGAATAATAAGCTTGTTCAGCTCACAGCTTTATAGTACTTTTCAGGCTTTAATAGCTACTTCTCAGCCTAATACACAACCCCTACAGCTATTTTTCTCAAGTACTACCACCAACAGCCAGCATTGGAGTAAAACTCACCTCTTCTATTCAATACGTAAACCCTTCAGTCCCCTCTGAGTGCCTTAATAAGTCTTAATGGCCATGGTGAGGCTCACCTGAGTGTCCCCACCCATGGACTGGGATCCTATATGTGCTCAGCTCAGGGAATCATTTGGTTTTTTGAACTGTGCTGTAGGTGCACTGTTTTTTAGTTTACTTGACTTTGTTTTTGAGTTGTGGACTGACTTCATTGCTGGATTTCAGGCCTTATAGGTGTGCTTAGGAAAGCATCTTTCTTAAGAAGAACAGTGAGGTATTGGTACAGACTGTCAGAGATGTTAGAGCCTCCATTCCTGGAAGCATTCAAGAACTGTAGAGGTGTGGTGCTGAGGGCTGTGATAAGTGGGTATGGTGGGGGTAGGTTGGATTTGATGACTTTCAAGGTCTTTTTCAACCTGAATGGTTCTATGATATAAGGGAAGTTTCAAGACCCTCGGATGTCTTGTTCCCATACTTGGATGGAATCTACCAGGCTTGTTTGCTCAATCCAGCATCATTCTGATGCTTCTTTAGCTCACATCTTGAGTTTTACTGCTGATATTCTGATATTAATGCTATGTCTGCTTGGTCTTGAAGATCATCCACCACCCTGGTGGTTCCTATGTGACACCCATGGAACACTGAGGAAGGTTTTCCCTCCTGCTCCTGGCACCCCAACCTGAACTGCACCTCCTAACGTACTGCATTACACCCAAACTCTATCTAGCTGCCTTGAGATGAGCTCATAGGTACCAACGAGCTGCCTACAAGCAATGGTGAGTACCTGCTGCCTCTTGCTGACTGCTTGCTATTGCCTACCCCTGAGTGAGGGGGTAGTAAGGCAATGGAGGAAAGGAACATGCAGTATGCCAGGGTGTGTTGCATCCCTGTTTGGTAATAAAGCAATAGGGAAACAACTGCAACTACCTGCAGGGTGCTGCCTTCTGTGAGGCTGTGAAGGATTTATCCAGCTCTTCAAAGCGTCTGCAGTTTAGCTACTCACAATCTGCAAAAATTGGAGTGGAGCAACAGTAAAGCACAGCTTTCAAAACCTCATTTTCCTTTCTTCCTTTCAAGCTGACAATAAGATTTTAAGAAAAACTTTGAATAATGGATACACTTTTGAATAATGGATGCTCTGTAGCCCAAGTCCCTTGCCTTTTCTCTCTGTGCCTGAGTGAGAAGGCTTCTAATTGCCAAGCACGTGGAGAGGAGGTGCGGAGCGCTTTGTCTCTCGCACTGCTGATTAACCAATGTGTACGTGCACATTAAAAATTCAGAGGTGGGTAAGCACATCCCAGCCCTGGGCTCTGTGCTGTGCACCGTGGCTTTTATCAGCAAAGGATCTGGCACAAGATGTTTTGCATTTGTTCTTGTTTTCTTCTTGTGGCTGAGCGTCATCTTCTTTTTTGGGGGGTCAGATTTGGCTGTTTCCATGGAAGTGCTGTTCCTATATGCTGATTGGGGAGGGAGCTTTTAAATAGGGCTACCCAAACCAGTGCCTGTCCTGAGGGTTATGGCCTTGTGGAGGCTGTCTTTTGGGGTCACTGTATGTTTTTTTTTGTGCTGGATTCTCATCTGCTCCATACCAGTGTGCTGTTCAATGCTTTGAAACTAATACTACGTGTGCTGCTGCCCCTCTGGCTCCTCAGTCTGCCCAGAAATGCTCCAGTCTGGAATATTTCTTCTCCAAACAAGCAGTGATGCAGTGGCACAGGCTGCCCATAAGAAGTGGTGGGGTCACCATCCCTGGAGATGTTACAGAACAAATGGAGATGTGGCACTGAGGGATGTGGTCAGTGAGCATGGCGGGCTGATGGTTGGACTTGATGATCCTAGAGGTCTTTTTCAGTCTTAATTATTATTTCAACCCTCGATGCTAGAGCAGTGAAATAGCTGTGGAGGTGCATTGAGGTGAAGCAAAGGGTCCTCTGGTGTCTGCCTAATCAGGCATTTTTAAGAACCTCACCACAGGAGGTTGCCAGCCAGATGTCTGCCTTCGCACAGCTTGTTCTCTCCCAGTTCTGCAGCTTCTTGCCTCGGAGGGTAACTACAATTTAGTTTTATTTGCCAAAATTTGACATGACTTGAGACTGTGATTTACCGGCTTTGAAGGATATGGTATATGTAACCGTGGAGGGTGTAAGTGGCTTTTCATGGCACAGGAGTTGTAAATTGAGATGGAAAAAAAAAAAAAAATGAGGGAAACATTACTGTCCAACTTTACAAGGTAGCACTAAGAACAGGACACACTGAAGCCATCTGTAACTGTCGTGGGTCTTTATGGTCCCTGATTGTGTGCAGTAAAGCTCCTAAATGAGCCCCGCGGTCTCTAACGCAGAGGTAACCAATGCTGAGTGCTGGAGGAGACACCAGATGGCAATCTCTTCACGAGCTTGCTCGGATGCCTCAGGGCTGAGGGTTTCCAAGCTTTCCTTGGGCTGGTGCTTGCTGGGGGCATGGGGCAGGGTATCTGCTACAGTAATGCTTGCTGGGGACAGTGGGAGCACTTCCTCTGTGTTTTCATAGAATCATTTGAGCTGGAAGGGACCCTTACAGGCCATCTGGTCCAACCCCTTGCCCTGAGCAGGGACACCCACATCTCCATCAGTGCTCGGAGCCCATCCAGCCTAACCCTGTATGCAGGGATGGGGCATTACCACTTCTCTGGGCAGCCTGTGCCACTGCCTCACTGTCCTTATTGTTACAAAACTCCTTCCTTCTACCCAGACTAAATCTCTCCTTTAGTTTGAACCTATTTTCTCTTGTCGCATCACTGCAGACCTTGCTAAAATGTTTGTCCCATCTTTCTTACAGCCCTCCCGCTATGCCTTATGACAATTTCCAGGCCTCTTGGTTCTCTGTGACCATTTTCAGCTGTTCTGTGTTGCAATGTGGCAGCATGACCCGGGCAGTGTGACAGCACTGGGCTGCTTCTGCTTGTTTTTATCAGCAAACAGCCGAATTTGCAATGTGTAGTGATCGCTGCAAGGCAGTTAGTAGAGATAAACAGCAATTTTATGGCTGGGAAAACAGACAGGAGGGGGCTGGAGAAAAAGGCAAGATGGCAGGGGCTGTGAGCACCTGATGGAGCTGTAGGTGTCCTTGTTCAGTGCAGGGGAGTTGGATCAGATGACATTTAAGGGTCCCATCCAACTCAAAGAATTCTATGGTTCTATGACCTGAACTCCCTACTTGGTCCCCGTTATCCTTTGGGCATCTCCATGGGTCATCCATTGGGATGTGCAGCAGCACAGCCTTCATTTGGGCTGGGAAATACTGGCAGCAAGGATATAGCATCCACAGCCAGGAGCAAAGCTTCCTATTGTTGCCATTTAAAATAACAATCTCATCTCAGAACTGATTAGAAACAGCATAAGCCACCTAAAAATAGGGCCAGGGACTGCAGCTACCTGAGTTTCTTCTTGGGTGCAAGGATGTAGGCTGATGGCTCTGCAGCCAGGTTTGGTGCCCAAGGTTTGGGCTGGCTGTGAGCAATACAATGCATGCCCCAGGGCATGAAGAAAAATCGTGTCATGGTGACAATAGCGGGGAAGCCTTTTAAAGAAAAAATAAATAGGATTTTTTTATATATAGCAAATGCTGTCCATGCTGTTTGCTGCCTGCTTTGCAATATATGCTTGATGGCGTTCACAAGTCTGAGTGTTTCCTGGAAATCCTCCTAAAATAGAAATGCATTGGCTAGAGGAGGTGCAACAGGCTGCCCCTCTCTTTCCACCCACTCTGTCCTTTTATCTCTGCTTCTCTTCCCTCACTTCTTGTATCCCAGCTCCTTTCTCTGGCTCTCTTCTTCTAATGTGTTTTCCTGCTTTCTTTTTCTCTTAAATTGATGTTTCCCACCTGTGTGTTTTAAGCTGGCTTTGCTCACAGCTGTTTGCTGGTTATGCTCTTGCATCTCCTTCTCACACAGTGCTTCCCACATCCCACACCTGAGTGTGACTGCTGCTTTCCTGCAGGTTGAGCATCTTCCCTGCAACCCAGAGCACAAAGCACTGCTGGCAGCAGCCTGAGAAACCACCAATGAGCTGAGCATCTCCATGAAGCTGTGAAACCAGTAGGAGAGACTTAATCCCATCCTATCCCAGCATCTTGTTGATGCAAGGATTGTGCTTCCCTGCTTGGTGTTCCTCTGGGGCTGGCAGTGTGGCTGAGAAGCAATTTTTCAGTTGAAACCTTAAATTCTATGGAGAGTGAGTGTTTATTTCTTGGGGTCTCTGGGAAAAACTTCTTATTGTCCCAGTGGTGTAGGAATGTCATGTTCTGAAATCTCTGTCATGTGCAGTTTAAATGGGGTTTTCCTGGTGGTGTGGGTGGGATTGCTGTGCATTCTGCTCTTCCTCCAAGGCCACCCTGTGATTTTGGAGGGGGAAAAATGTTTTGCATTTTGCTTTCACTGTGGTTTTATTCTGATGCAATTTGCCTTCATCCCCTCCATTTTCACTGTTCTGGGGGGTATCATGGGGAAGAAGTTGTGGTTGCCTGTAGAGTAAAGATGTTGCTGCAGAGTAAGGACTTAAGGCATCACTGGGGTGAGCCTGCAGCCTGCCCACGCTGCGTCCCGTGCACAGCCCGATAGAGCAGATGTTATTTTGTTGAGTTAACTAAATAGCTTCAATGGGCTTTATTTGTTATTTCTTCAGACAAATGGGAGCAGTGTTAGGATGGGAAGAGGAGGATGTGTGGATCATGGCTTAGAAAAAAAAAAAACAAATAACAAGCCAAAAGGGGAAAAACATCTCTGGCTTTTTTTTTTTTAGCTCAGAGACTCATGTCAGGCTCTATCTCAGGTGGAAGAGCCTTGGCTGGTCCCCGGGCTGGGCTGGGAGCTGCTGCCCTTTGTCCTCTGCAGTGGCAGTGGACTTTGGCAGTGGCGCCGGGGAGAGGAAGTGGGGCAGCAGGTGTGTGTGCGGCTGTGGGGGGTGGTGGGGACCCCGTCCTATAGGGGATCCAGGGGACCTGCACTGGGGTGGGAGGACTTGCTGGGTCCATCCAGACCCAGAATGGTCCCCGAATGCATTCAGTTCTGAGTGCGAGGGGTTGATGTGCGGTTCGGCGATGGCTTGTTGCATCCTGGTGTTTTAGCAAAGCTTCAGGTGGAACCAAAAGGGAAAATACATGTTTTTACCTCTGCTTCTGCTGTAGGCATTTTGGGAACAAAGGATGGCAGCAGGGTCGGGAGGTGGGAGGAAGGTGGCAATGGGCTACAGAGGAGGTTTTGGGGTGGGTGGAGAGCTGACACCTGCAGGGATGGGTCTTGTTGCCTGCAGGCCATTGGAGCCCTTGGATCTGCTGCATGGAGCCCTGGGCCCTGCCGCGGCCACCTCCAATGCGGCGCAGCCGAGCTGCTGGGAGTGAGCGGGCAGAAGGCCGCCATGGGACCCCACTGCCCTTGAGGCCCATCCTTCCTGGCCCTCTGCCTCGTCCTGGCTCCTGGGACCCTGGCAGGGACCTGCAGCGGCCGGCATCCCGGGCTGAGAGCTATGAGGGTGGCCATGCCTTCCGGGCCTACTCCAGGTGGGAGCCAAGGGGCTGCTAACACAGAGCCCCGTGCCTCAGGAATGAGTGTTCTGTGAGCTCCAGAGCTTGGTGGGGAGGCTGCTTTGGTCTCCGTCACCTCCTGCCCTGGAGATCCCATCTGTGGGTCTGTCCCTGGTGTAGTCCAGGCTCTGGTGGGATGTCCTCTCTCAGCTCCATGCGTTATGCTGTTTCAGGCAAGGATATGAAGACCCCCACTGGCAATACCCAGCAGCTGCCTACAGGGACAACCATGTTTACCAAAGCCACCAGTGGCAGCCCACAGCCTGGCAGGGTGACAGAGGTACCTCTGGGTCCAGGGATGGACCACCTGTGGTGATGCTTTCCCCAGGATGGGGATGTTCTCCAGGGCTTTCTTCTGCCTGTACTCCTGGGCAGTGCTGCCCTGAGCTTGCATTTGGGAGCTGGAAGCACCCAGGTAGTGTTTAATCCTGATCTGTGTGGCTAAAAGTCAGCATCAACCCAGGGTGCAGGCTAAGTATGGGGATGCTGATGGAGCTGTGGTTTGTGCCTGACTCACTGCTTTGCTTTTCTAACTGCAATTGCTCTCTGCTCTGGAGAGGCAATGCAAAATCTTGTTTCCCTCTCCAGATGTGACACAGGTTAAGCCTCACAGCAGGAGTACTGCTTATAGGGACCAGCATTACTACAGGGGCTACCACCCCAACCTGGCTGCCAGCCCCTCAGGGCAGGATAGGTAAGGAGGTACCTGGGCTGCACTTCCAACTGATGCCATCACCTGCTGCAAAACCAGGGGTTTGGGGCCAGTCCCCACACCTCCTGCTTTCAGATCATCTCCTTTCCACAGGTCCCAGACCTATGATGCATATAGGGAGGGCTCCAGGCATTCGTGGGCTGGGGTCAGCAATCTGGGGGAGGCCACTGGCCAGCCTCAAGAGGTAACCCTGAGGCAAGCAGGGATGGAGGAAGGCTTGGGGTTCTCACAGGGATTTTGGGAGCCTTTTCCATGCCCCCTCCAGCTGGGAGAGAGTGAGGAAAGGTAAGTGAGTTTTAAGGATTTATTCTCTTTTTCCTTGCCGTGCCACGGTCCAGCCCAGCCTGCTCCAGCAGTACCGTGAGTCAGGACTCAGCTCTAGTGGCTATGAGCTCAGCCAATATATCCGTGATGAAGCTGAACCCAACAACACTGCATTTTTGGGGGGCTGGAGCCCTGTGCAAAGAGGTGAG